GCTCCGTTTTTTGCATTCCTCGTTATACCTATTTCCTAAAATAAAAAGCTCAGATAGATACTCAGTGTAAAAGCACATGATACAAGAATGTACCAATTGAAGCACACAATCATGAATAAACATGTTAGTTTGAGATGTGATATTAATGTCAATCAAAACACCAACCGAAATATTAATATTACAAAAAATCAAAATTTAAATAGCTATGCATTATGATATGGAATGCAATGCAATACAAATTCTCTCACTTACTGTAGACTCTCTATATTTTTTATACATAATCAAAATATATCTATGTCTCTCCCCAACGACCCCTAGACATAAAATGCAATGAATTCAATTTTCTCTCCCCCTACATATAGTATTATCTCTCCTTTTTTGTCACAAATGACAAAGAGAACAATGGCAAAATCAACTTGAGCAACCAATATGTAACAACTTAAACTAGCAATTGATAACATGCACGAGTATAATTGATGATTAGTAAACTTTACCACATACTTATTTCAAGTTAAAATGGAATAAATTGTATAAGCGATCCATGTGTGTAAAGTGTCACTAATCCTTTGTAAGCAGGACTCCAAACCTTAATTTTGTGAGAAATGACATGGTAAACATCACTGTCAATAAGTTTATTTTCCTACTTATGAAATTCAAATCAAGTAAGCACATTAAGACCTTTAAATGAAGCTCATTTTGTCTGTATATATTGATCTTTTCTCCCTCTAACTTCGAGCATACATAAATTTTTCATATCGTTTAATATTTTTAAGCTCATCATATTATTTCATCTTAAGTGCGGGTTCCTCTCCATTAAATGACTAAGATGACCCCTATAGTGAGTTTTAGGCCGTTAACCCAAGTGAGTTAACCATAGGAACCAGGTTTTGAGCTACCTCACAGGCTTAATTGCTCGAGTCAAATAGGCTTCGAAGAAGAACATAAGATATTGAGCTTTTTATTATGAGGACATATTCTCGAGTTTAGGTCTAATAAATAAGGTTAATTCATAAAGTTATCTTACTAACAGATAACTATCATCCCAAATCTCACACACGTAGTTGAGTCCCACTAACAATATCATAGTGTGTGCAGTGCAAATGGTACATAAAGACGCCTATACTAAGTACTCCATAATATCCTAAGCAAGTAATGGAAAATATATTATAGCTCATCAATTAAGCCCATCCATGTTACAACACACAAGTTCAAGAATTTTATATACAATGTTGTAGTAAAAATTTCCATTCCCAATTTTTGTGTCTTTTCATTTTTTGTGTTTTTATATTTAAAACAATGAATGCTCTAAGCATACAAAAAAAATCACACATCAAATAAAAAAAATGATTGCATGCTAATGCAAACATAACGAAAATGCACATATAATAAACTACTACCTAAAGAAGCAAACAAACAAATGAGATGCATGCACCAATCAATGACTCAAGTGATAAAGCACAAGCATGCACCAGAATTACCTAATCAGTTACGTAAAGAGACGTTGTTACCTTTAAGAGTATCGTGGTCTATTTCAGAATATTTTAGATCACTCTATTTCACCCAAATCTGCCTAGTGGGAAAACAATTACAGACAACTGTGTCACCAACTTGGTCAATTGACTCACTTGATCAGTGAAGAATCCAATCTAACCAACAAACTCCTGATTTTTATTCATATTAAAGTTATTGTTTCTCTATTTATTCAAGGTTTGGTGACACCTATGCATATGTGTTGTAACTTACCACAGTGAAAGCATGTAGGGATAACCTCAGGACCGAAGTGGTGTGATCGCTGACGTCTATTCCTAGGTCGCTAGGTCCTACATTGTCTAGTAGACCTCTATCCTACAAATCCCGTATTTTTAGGTTCTTGGTTATGCACATGTTTAGGCCAGTCAGTAGTAGGGACAAAAGTCGTCTTTGAAGTACTAGCAATATTCTCTTTAAAACCTAGACCTCTCCTATTACTAGCCAACTTGCTCATTTCTAGAATATTATCTAACTTTTGAGATCCACTACAAAAGTCAAGAAGTTGAGACTTAAAATATTCTAGATCGCTCATAATGTTCTTAACCTGGATTTCTAAAGTTTCATTTTTAGCAGTCAACCCACTGACTTTCCTAGAGGACTTCTCAAGCTCACTTGTGAGATTCCTAACATGAGTATCTAAAGATTCATTCATTGATTTCAATTCATTCAGGGTTGAGGTAGACTCTGGAATGCACTTTAATAACTTTTCTTTCTCCAATTTAAGCTCCTTGACCTTTGTATTTAAGACTTTATTAGTGGCAAGAATCTTAAGACTCTCCTCATACATTTTATCATAAGCCTTGCGGATATCTTCCTCACTCTCAGAATCTTCTTTAGATTGCTCACCATTATCTATGTCTTCTTCTCTCTCACTTCTCTTGTCATATCTACTCCTAGTCCTAGCAGTAAAGGTAACGTATTTCCCACTTTCCTCATGAGTAGACTTCTCACTCTGATTATCCAAGCTAGACTCATCATCAGTAAGAGTAGCATTCATAGCCTTATCCTGATTTCTATTGCTGGTAGAGCACTCATTCCTCATATGGCCAAAACCATGACACTTGTGACATTTCACAGATTTAGATCTACTTCTTAGATTCACTGGGAACACCTATATACTTCTCTTCAAGCTTCTTCTTCTTTCTAAACATTTTACTAATTTTTTTAGCAAGGTAGGCTAACTCCTCATCATTCGATGAATCAGAATTAGAAGATTCCGTCGAGTTACTCTGCACAGCTTTCAATGCCAAAGACTTACCTTTAATAGGTTTATCTATTGTTAGCTCATAAGTTTGGAGAGATCCAACTAATTCTTCTACCTTAATAGAATCTAAATCCTTACACTCCTCTATCGCTGTAAATATAGGTCTAAATAACTCAGTTAAGGGTATAAAGATTATTCTAACTATTTTAGGCTTGGGGATTCTCTCACCTAGTTGAAGCTGGAATTAATAAAGTCATTGAGGCATGCATAGAAATCATCAAAAGTTTCATCATCATTCATCCTAATCTCTTAAAATGTAGTGGTCAACATCTGCAACATAGAGTTTTTCACAACGTGTGATCCCTCATGTGTGGTTTATAAAATATCCCAAACCTCTTTGGCTACCACACACATGGATACTTGCCTAAATTCTTTCGCGAGAATTGCCATAACAGGGCGTGTAGGGCATTGTTATTCCAATTACATTCATCTAAGTTCGTTTTAGACCAATTAGCAATGGGAGTGGGGTCACTACATTATCTACCAGAGTACTCGAGGTAGTCCAACCACTAACTACACTTAACAAAATCCGTTCATCCGTTGATTTTAAAAATGATCTCATCCTAACTTTTCATTAGGCATATTTACAACCATCAAGATGAGGCAGAACACACAATGAACTACTCATCTAGACAAATAGGTCAGGACACGTAATTAGGCTCTAATAACACTTGAAAACTCTAGAACACACTGATACCACATGAAATTTTCTGGATAAAACTTGTGAGTTCTCTAGATTACCAATTAGTTTGACCTTACGTGTGAAATTAACCTAATAAAAGCAACAAATCACTTTTTAATAGTTTCTAGATAATTAAGCTTACAAGTCCAATTCCCTATATTTGAATACCACAGTTTGTAATATGGAAACTATAAATAACATCAATATTGTTGATGGAGAAACCCAATTGTGTAAAACTCCGAGACCAAGCTAGCTACCTCTACTATAGATAATGAATGTTACAGCTAAATGTTGTCTAGCCAACTCCACTAGACTTTCCTATCTACTTCCTGCAATCTCCAAGATATTGTTGTCTCCTCCAACTTCTCGATCTTGTACAATTGTTTCTTTCTAATGGATACCCAAGAATCACCAATTCTTGTTCTTATTCATGCGCTTGTAGTCCAGCCTTCTTCAATCTTCAGTAGCTTCTGAGATTCCAATTGAGAAAGTACATTCTTTATTGCACAAAGGAAGTGAGTGTTTTGGATTCTGGAACTTTGATGTTTTTCCCAATCTATGGTTATTGGATCTCAAGAATGAATGATTTGAATCCTGGGGTGAATGTGTTCTTGGATCACCAGAGGATGTTATGAATATATTTTGCAAGAGAGGCACAATGTACAACCACCTTAGAAAATCGTGCAAGGTTTGGGTATTTATAGTTAGAGATATTTATGTATTATAGGCCATGTCAAACTTTTCAAGATCGCAAACTAGGATTGGCCGGATAATACCATCGCTCAAGCAAAGCGACAGTGACAAGCGAACGAGACTCATTCTTTTTATCGCTCGAGCATTGTCTTAGCAAGAGACAAGCGAAAATGCGACATTTCTTCTTTCTTATTCCAAACTCGATCTCGAACCGTAAGCTACCTTATCCAAATATACAATATTGCTCCTTACTCCTTGACTTTTACATATGTTAAATTTAGTCAATTTTCTTCATAGAATTGCCAATTACAACATAAAACCTAACAAAATGTTCACCTATAACAAAGATTTTTATGCTGATGGAAAATCTAAATGAACTTTAGGCTACTACCTAGGTATTTTACTCACTTTTGACAAATGTTTTTCAGCACGTATGGCATTTTTCAAAAATTATTATAAATATATCATGCAACAATCACTTTATTGTTTCATAATCATCATCTTCAAATTAATTTGTAGTTCCTCTCTTTTGTAAGAGCTATTCTATGTTAATTGAACATTTTATATATCAAATTCTATATGTTGAAATGGATTGACACATTGACACAATATTTTCCAAATGAAATTGAAAACCTATTAGTACTTGTATATATAGATTTGAGACGCTATGGTTTCATGGGTTCATTTCTAGACCTCTTACATTTATTTTATATATTTAGTTCAATATGAAAAAAGAAAAAAGAAAAAAAAAGTGTAACGCATGGCTAAGTGTCAAGACCAAGCTTTATGCTTTTACGAGCTTAATTGGTCTAGGCATAAAATCCATAAAGTATGGCGATTATACACCAAGGTCCATTTTCATGCCTAGATGTGCTTTTAGGTTATCACCTTGGCATTTTACACTCTTTTAACAAATATTTTTTAGCATGTATGGCATTCACCTAATAATTACTAGTAATACAAAATAAAATCCTATGTACCCAATCAATGTGGGATGAATACGGATACCACCAACGGCTAGGCTCATTATAATTTTTAGCCAGTATTTTATAATCTTTTTATTTTCAATCGGATTAATTTTTTTAATTTGGTAGTTTGAGGACCTAGGATATAATTTTAGTTCTGATTAATGATTTTGTGTTTCTCTATTAGCTACAAAGATGAGCTTTGCACTTTGGAGTATTTTGATTAAAACATTATAAAAATTGTGAGAGTTTTTCTTTTACAATTTTTCACATGAAATGCTTTTCCATGTTGTTAACACTTTGTCGACCTTGATCAATTATTCGGCATTTGATTGTGGATCAACTAATTATTGATTTTCTAAATTCACAGACATTTTAAAACTTAACATGGTTTTAGGTTTATTCTTTATTATCGTATATTGTTCCTATTGCGTGCAGCAACTTGTTTACTAAATAATTAAAAATGCTAAATTAATTTATACATTTGTCATTCTAGTATCATTCGTATTTTAATAATATATTTGAATTTTATATTTTGATTATATTAATCTTTGCAGTTTCAGTATTATTAGCTTATATGAAATTTTAAATATTTTACTTGTGATTTCAATTTTTAATATCCTAAAATGTATTCACAGGATGCATTCCATATGAAATCGGAAACTCATTAGCACTTCAACATTTATTCTTGGCTAGTAATATGTTAACAGGTACCTATCTACAACTCATTAGTACTTTTGGTATTCGTTAATTTGTGTTGACAAATACCACAATACAGGTACAATTCCGCATTCAATTGGCAGATTATCAAATTTGAAGCAATTGCCCATTTTCGACAACAATATTCAGGGTCCAATACCTGAATCCATCTTCAATCTCTCCATGTTACATGTTCTTTCTCTTGCTGGAAATAATATCTCCGGCAATCTTCCATCGTCCATTGCCAATGGTCTTCCTAATCTCGAACGTCTCTTACTTGCTGACAATCAGTTGAGTGGGAAAATTCCTGCCTCTATTTCAAATTTTTCAAAGCTTACTAAGTTGGAACTTGGATATAACTCCTTCAGTGGACGAGTACCAATGAATCTTGGGAATTTACATAACCTGCAGAGTCTGCGTCTTGGTTTTAATCACTTGACAAAAGATCCTTCGGTGCTCGAATTGGATTTTCTTAGTTCATTGCAAAATTGTAAGAAGTTGAAATTAATAGGGATTGGAGACAATCCTTTCCATGGAATATTACCAAAATCCTTGGGTAATTTGTCAACATCCATTGAAATTTTTAGAGCCGATCATTGTGGTATTAAAGGTATCATTCCGAATGAAATTGGTAATTTGAGCAACTTGATAGAGTTGGACATTGGAGGCAATGAATTGATAGGAACAATTCCTGACACATTGGGTCAATTAAAAAAATTGCAAAGGCTGATACTCGGTGTCAATAAACTACAGGGGTCTGTATCTGTCAACCTTTGCAATTTGGTAAATCTGTATTATCTTGATTTGGGAAATAATCAACTTTCTGAGCAGTTGCCAAAGTGTTTAGGAAATCTTACGTCTTTACGACAAATTTATTTATTTTCCAACTCATTGACTTCCACTATCCCATCCACAATGTGGACTAACAAGGAAATCCAGATTTTGAGTTTAACTGATAATTTGCTGAATGGGTCACTGGCTCCAGAAATTGGAAACCTTAAGAGCATGCGAGGGTTATATCTATCGGGAAATCGATTCTCAGGTAATATTCCTAGCACTATAGGACAACTTCAGAATTTGGGAAATCTAACATTATCAAACAATCTATTACATGGTCCTATTCCTGAATCGTTTGATAATTTGATTTCATTGAAAATATTGGATTTATCCAAGAACAAACTCGATGGTGTAATCCCCAAGTCAATGGAGAAACTTAAGTACCTTGAGTATTTCAATGTTTCATTCAATGAACTCACTGGTGAAATTCCAAATGGAGGGCCTTTTAAGAACTTCACGTCAGATTTCTTCATGGGCAATAGGGAATTGTGTGGAGCATCTCATTTTAAGGTCAAGCCATGCAAATATGATACAGCTAGAACATCAAGCAAAACAAGAGTTTTGAAGTTTATTTTTCCATCAATTGTCGTAGTATTGATTCTGGCCATTACTTTGGTCTATTTAATAAGACGTCATAGCAGGAATACACTTTTTACAGCTCCGTCTACTTCCCCTGTGACAGTCAAGTGGGTTTCATATTATGAAGTTCTAAATGCTACCAATAAATTTGGTGAAGAGAATCTGATTGGCAAAGGTAGTATTGGTTCAGTGTACATGGGAACATTTTCAGATGGAATGATTGCTGCTATTAAGGTTTTCAATCTAGATTTGGAATGTGCAAACCAAAGTTTTGATAATGAGTGCCAAATACTTTGCAACATTCGTCATAGAAATCTTGTCAAGGTAATTACTAGTTGCTCTAACATTGATCTCAAAGCCTTAGTTTTGGAATATATGCCTAATGGAAACCTTACCAAATGGCTTTCTTTGAGCAACTATTTCCTAAATTTAGCTCAAAGATTGGAAATAATGATAGATGTGGCATCTGCGCTAGAGTATCTACATCATGGATATCCCTCTTTGATTGTCCATTGTGATTTGAAGCCCAGCAACGTACTTTTAGATGAAGATATGGTTGCCCATGTTGTTGACTTTGGCATTGCTAAGCTTTTCACTGAAGACCAAAGAATTTCAATTACCAAGACGTTGGGTACCATTGGATATATGGCTCCAGGTAAATGGTTTCTATCGTCTACTTGTGTATCTTCAAATGCTAATGGTGTAACCATGTATTACTTATTAGTTCTTATTTATGTATCATCATTTAACATTTTGCTAACTAATTTGATCACACGTTCCAATTTTGTAGAATATGGATCAAATGGATTAGTATCAACTATGGCAGATGTTTATAGCTATGGGATTATGCTAATGGAAACATTTACCAAGAAGAAGCCAACAGATGATATGTTTGTCGGAGAGTTCACAATGAGAAAATGGGTGCTTGAATCATTCCCAAAAGCAATAGCACAAATAGTGGATATCGATTTAGTGAATGCTGCTGAATATAATATTCAAGCTAAGGAGAGCTGCTTCACATTAATCATGGAACTAGCACTAGAATGCACAACTGATTTGCCCGAGGAGAGGCCCACTGCTAAAGATATTCTAGCAAGGCTAAAAAAGATTAAAACTTAAGTTTGTTAAAGCATAAGAGAGGTAGAACAAGACAAAAGGTTTGGTTCTTAATGAGAACAGAAAAAATGATTATTTAATCAAAGTCTATTCTTTATTTCACTATTAATCTATAACTTATTATATGTTTCTATTGCAGGAAACTGGCTATCATTCTGAAGATTTTAAAACTTTATTGGCATCCATTGTTGTGTTGTAGTTGTTTTGTGGCCCCAAAATCCATAAGTAGACGACATTTAGAATTTGTGGTGTAAGAAAATGTTTTGGTACCATAAATAATCTTCATTAGATGAGAATATTGTTATCCTATTTTCTTATCCTCCTCATTTCCCATTGACACCAGTCTTTAATACGAAGCAGCAGTAAAATATTAGAACAAAAATGAAGCTTTTTTTGAAATATGCAAATCGAAAATGATAACATAGCTAATAAAAGTTGAAAAATACATGAAATTTTCAATCATAGTAAGAAAGGGAAGGAAACAAGATGGTAGTTATTCATTTTTGGTAACCAAAATGATACATCATTTTATGAATTTTTATGGCGTCGAGTCAATCGTTTTTGTAAGTTGCCCTTTAAGTAACCAAAATTCAATCATTTTGGTATGTTGCCCTTTAAGTAATCACTTCACACTTTGTCGAGTCAATCGCTCCCATTTATAAATTTACACACAATTAACGTTCTCATGTAAACACCTTCCCGATTCTTTAGAATAACTTTAAATCTGAATCGCCGGTAGCATGAACATGTGAGTATTCTTTCATTTTCAACTTATTTTTTATTGTGAAGACAAAAAAAATAAATCATTTTTATGTTGTTGGTTTTCCTTTTTTCTACTATTTTACAATTATTAATAACTGCCATCTGTGAACACTTATACTGTACAAGCAAGTTAGTTTTGCTTATGCCTTTATACGTCTAGGAAATGAACTAGATTTTTACACAGTCGTTCTCCAGATTGTTCATTAGGCCTTCAATAACAAGATGGATCAAGAGCTAATAATTTGATTTCTCTTGATTTGATGGACAAATATTCTTTATGCCTTTTGTAGTTAGTGTAGCAATATTTTGGAGAGGGTTCAATCTATTAGGAAATTTCATTGTTGTAGCTGCATATCTGTCAACAGTGAAGTTAAAGGAAAGCTGTATCGATTCTAATATTCAATTTTCCAGTCATTTGAAAGTTAAATTTCATTTTTGTCGCTGAACTTCAATTTACTTTTGATGTAAATCATAGTGCTAGCTCATATTTCTAAATTTTGATGTAACTATAGTACGTGAACGTCAAAAATTGACGATTATGTTTTACATTTTCAAGTAAGCATGTCATTTAATTATGTTGACTAATAGAGGATTGAGACATAAAATTTAGTAATAAGCAAATTACCATTGAGAACAAATTGAATTTCAATGATTTGTGAGACAAATTAAAGTTGGATGATCTAATTGAGATTTCATCATAATTAAATTTAGTGATTAAAAATGAAGTTTACTCTATAACCACCTGGATACGTACGAGAGGGTCAACTAAATAAAGTTTATAAATTGAAAAAAGCTCTTTATGGACTCAAGCAAGCCCCCCAGGCATGGAATACCCGTATTGACTATTACTTTAAAAAGAATGGGTTTATGCAGTGTCCGTATGAACATGCAGTATATGTAAAACGAGAACAAGATGGAGGTACACTATTTTATTTGTTTATATGTGGATGATTTATAACATGTTTGATAGTTTAAAATGAATTGGATTAGCATTTTATCAAACATTAAATAGGTGAATGGGAATGGTGGAAAGAAAATAAGCAAGCCCATTAGAAAAAGCTTATTTTGAAATCATAAGCTAATCAACTTCATTTTTAATTACACAACTTTTATTCACTTTTAAACCACGCATTTCATAAGACCTGCCAACTTATAATCTCAAAAAGTTTTGTCAAACATGGCAAAAGTTTAGCAACAACCTAACACAGTATAAACAACTCGAAAAAGAAGTGAAAACAACAAATACTACACAAAACCCCTCAGGATCTTCTATTCCTTAACGAAATATGCTAAGTTTAACATAACACAATCATTTTTACTACATTTTCACCAAAAAGAATATACAGAAGCGATGAAAACTCATTTTACTCAACGAACATAACTATACATTCGAACTTTCCAGTTTACCTGAACAACCATTTTACATGCTAACTTATTTTGGGGGCGTAAAAAACTAGAGACTGTGACAAAAACACCTGATCATAATATGAAGAGCCTTTTGTTTGCTAAATACCCATTCACACCACTACGAGTATGATACATTGTAGCGATAATCACGTCCCAGCAGGATGTAGAAAACTCAAACTAGCTTGTCTCTGAGCATGCTCAGGAATCAGCTGGTAGATCAACTCAAGTGATGCTCCAGCCAACTACAATCAGGAGAATTTGATGTTAAATAATCAATAACCGCCTGCGGTACTCGTACACAAGTTGTTTTAGGCTTCGTTTAGTTTGAAGGTGATGAAGGGTTTCGTGTGTTCGCGTCTATCCCTCATCAACATATCAGCTTAAGACAATTGATCTCAACAATTTTTCTAAAGCAAATTATAGCATAAAAATATTGAGGTCCTATTGGAAAGCATGAAGAGCAGAGTTTATAAATCCCCTAAAAGATCCGATACCAAACAATTCTACTTTTATTCAGATTCAATTACATTACAAAATATTATGCAAATTCAAGGAAATTTCTTACAAGATTAGATAAACAGCGCCAGATAGAAAAGGTGAACATTACAAAAATGGGTAAATGGCAACTGAAGCTCCACAGAAGAGCAGGATTTATAAGAATTCTAGCTCAATTGGTCTTTGTACAAGTTCTTTGAACTCAGAAACAAAATAAATGTTCCAGTTAAAATAGCTTTCAAGATAAGAGTAGCAGCAAATGGATAACTAGGTAACAGCTCAGTCACAAATGAAACATCTAAAATTTTCAGGCTCCAAATAGAATTACTTTTAGTAGAGAGGAGATTTTCGCGAAGAAAACTATTACAGCATATCAATCACAGTACAATCTCAATCATAGCATATTAAAGTATATCAATCACAGCATAATCACACCAGCAATCAAGCAAAATCACAAATCACCAGAAATCAAGCCAGTGGTTTCCATTGATGAATTATTTCCTTTACATATTGTATTTACCATGTAGAGCTTGAATTCTCACCTATAAATGGGTTCACAAATCATTGTAAATATATGAAGAAAATATTATAGCTTTTACCTCCTTTCTTCATCTTTGTATGAAACATTATTATGGTATCAGAGCAACCCCTTCCTGCGGCCTCTTCTATCTTCTCTAAATTCTCTTCTTTCATCTCTGAATTCTAGAAATGTTGAAACCAACAGTTATCATGTCCGATTCCACGAAAATAATCAATGATCTCACATCTTCATATTTCCAGCCCCTGCAATCAGATTTTGTCAGAACTCAGCCAAATGATTCGGGTAGTAACCGACGACCCACGGCAAACATGGTGTCCAGTAGCTCAACTCCTTCTGCATAAAGTGAAATCCCTGGTCTATCTAACGAGCAATACCAACAATTGATGGAACTTTTGCAGCCAAGTACCAATGCACTGCCTGCCTTTTCTGGCATCTCCTCTTCAATGCCCTCAATTGCCTCAAATTCTCCAATCCCTTGGATAATTGATAGTGGGGCCTCAGCCCATATATCTTGTATTTCCAATTTATCCAAAGCCACACATTGTTGGGCTCATAATCAGTTTCTTACATTGCCTACAGGCGCCACGGCCCAAGTCATTCATATGGGTCACATTCTTCTTTCTCCTCAATTATGTCTTTATAATGTTCTTTTTGTTCCAAATTTTAATTATAACTTAATCTCGGTTAGTCAACTCACTAAATCGTCTAATTGTGTTATCACGTTTTCCCCCTCTATTTGTTTATTTCAGGACCAACACACGAGGAAGTTGATTGAGATGGGTAAAGAACGTGGAGGCCTCTATCATTTTAAATCATTTAATCAAGCTGCACTTCAAATCACAGCAAACCCTACATCCATACCAGATCTGTAGCATCTTCATTTAGGTCATCCCTCAAATTCTTGCATTCCCAAAATTCTGTGTGATTCAAACAAAATTAAAAATTGTGATAGTTGCATTCGAGGCAAACATACACATCTCCCCTTTAAATAGGTCGAAAATAAAAGTACTTTTATCTTTGACCGGATTTATTGTGATATTTGGGGCGGATATTCCACACCCTCTACATCTGGTGCACACTATTTCCTTACAATTGTCGATGATTTCTCACGTGTTACTTGGGTATATCTCATGCGTTTTAAATCCGATGCATTTACTTGCCTGACCACATTTATTAAAATGATCCACACACAATTTAATTGTCCTATCAAACATGTTCAGTCTGATAATGGTCAAGAATTTCTCTCTCATCGTATGCAACAATTTTTCCTTGACCATGGCATTATTCATGAACGTACTTGTGTTGAAACACCCTAGCAAAACGGTCTAGCTGAATGAAAGCATCGTCACCTATTAAATGTGGCTCGGTGTATTCGCTTTCATGCACATTTACCTATATCCTTCTGGGGTGAATGCATTCTTACTGCTACTTACTTAATTAATCGCATACCAACCCCCTCTCTAAATGACAAAACTCCTTATGACCTTCTTTTCAACAAACCTCCTCCCTATGATCATCTTCGTGTCTTTGGATGTCTTTGCTATGCACACACCTTAAGTGTTCATATGGACAAGTTCTCACCTTGTAGCACACCATGTGTATTCCTAGGCTACTCTCAAACTCCACACATCTATCGTGTTTATGACTTACAAACCAAGAAGATATTCCTATCTCGTGATGTTTACTTTGTAGAATCTATCTTTCCATTTGCTACTACCATGCAACCTTCAGACACATCACACACATTACTAGACACCACACAGTCTCTCGATATAACTTATACTACCTTACCTTCAGCACATGATACATATGACACTCATGCTTCATCTCCTCAAGCACCATCCCTACCAGACACCGAACCATCTATATCATCACCACCAGATGATGATGCGCCTACCAACTCCCTTAAACTTGTCATTGTTTCACCCCCATCACCTAGACCTCGACGCACAACCTCTCATCCTACATATTTTCAGGATTACATTTGCTCAGAT